TAATGGCAGATATTAAGACAGGACACATACCCGTCTGCCTTGAAATCTTTGTGACTGTTTCTCTCATCCTTTTCATTTTCCTCTACTTTTACATTCATCTTTTCTTTCTCTTCGTTTGTTCCTTACTACATTTGCAGCTTAGAGGTCAGCCTATCCCACCTCACTACTTCCACCAGCATGCTTGCAAACACAACACCATTACATTTTGTTGGGAAGACTCTTATTTTGTTTCCCACCACACCGCCATCTTCCCTATCTGCTTTCTGGACATGTTTGTTTTGTTTTATTCTATTTTCAAGAAAATTGTAGAACTTTTAGAAATGTGCTAAAGGATGAAAAACATAGTAAAACAAAACCCAATGATCTGAACCATGTTTTCATTTGATGCATGAGGTAGGAGGGATATTAGCAGAGGAGAGGAAGGGAAGATATATTTCTTTAATATTAACTAGTCACATGCTTAGAATTCACTACTTATTTTGGGTGGTTTCTCTTCCACAATACATACTGTGCGTTGGTTTCACCTTGAAATTTTAGAAGTGGAGCAAAGAGACAAGCAGCCTTCCATCTGCCCTGATGAAGCTACAAAAAGCCATTGACCTAGCCCTAAGGGATCACTTATATTGCCAGTGTTTAGACTTTTCAGGTAGTTCTGCAAAGGAAGCCAGGGCAATCTTCTTAAACTCCAGGCAGAGTGAAGAATAACCTGTGGTAATTATTTATTTAATTACACTGTCTTATGTCATTATAGGACGTATTTCACATGAATTTATTACCAATGAGATAGATAGCTTGGCAGTGAGGTGAGGTTTGTTGTTATTTTTTCCATATGAGATTGTCTTGCATTTTGCTCAATAGAAGATTTGAGAATGAGTAACGAAAGGTATGGGGATAAACTGCCAGGCATTTCTAAAGATGTAAGACTTCTAGAGTTCTTGGGTGTGACAGATGGTGTGTCTTTGTTCATTGCTGGTGTTTTGAGAGTAATTTTTTTTCTTTGCTCAATCCCCTTAATATATAGCTCCTTGAGGTGGGTGGGTAGGTAGGGGGACTTTGAGCAAAGATGCCTCCTTTCTATTATACTTGAGTTACTCTGTTAGAGTACAGCAGGATCCAGGCTGGAATATGTACATATGGTCCTTACAATATTAAGTAAACCTATTCATTTAAAAATGAAAGGTTCCCAAAACTCTTCAAACTTTTATGCTGTTAACATCTGGGTTTATAAATCTCTACCTATTTTACAGGATTCCAGTGAGATGACTAGGAGACAAACTTTAAAACACTACATAACCATGAATTGCTGTTACTACTTTTAGCCTGTATGATTCACAATTTAAGAATTCTGCAAAGCCTGAAAGTCTTTATTATCTATTTTTTTAAATATGCATTTTAATATATATTTAAAAGGATTAAATGTGATGTGTTGAATAATAAATGTTAAGCATCCTGGTTCTTCATAGAAAAGTCTTGAATTTTAGAAATGGAAAAAAGAAGGTATTAAAAAACTTGTTATTGGGGCAGCTAGGTGGTGCAGTGGATAAAGCACCGGCCCTGGATTCAGGATGACCTAAGTTCAAATCCAGCCTCAGACACATAACACTTACTACCTGTGTGACCCTGGGCAGGTCAGTTAACCCCATTGCCTAGCAAAAACAAAAAGCAAAACAAACAAAAAAAACAAAGCAAAACAAAAAAAATTTATCGTAAATCACAAAAAGGTTATGTTAATGAACAAGTGACTCTACTTCGAAGACCTCTCAGTAAAGTATATGTTGATACTTTGATACAGCCATGATTTAGTCAACATAAGCACTCCCTCCCTAGACACAGATACCACCCCCCATGCATACTCATTTTTTTTATATTTTTATTCCACTGTTTCCCAAAAATAATCAACAAAATATATTTTAAATCCTCTTCTGGTTCTTTTAATATCTTGAGATACTGATATAGTATATTTTTGTCTATCTGTTGTCTCATTCTTATTAGAAGGCCAGTTTGCAATATTATATACATATATATATATATATATATATACACACACACACACACACACACACACACACATACATATACATACATATAGATATATCTGTCACTTCTAACACAGAAATCATCTCAATAAATTTAAACTTTTTCAAATACCTTTTCAACTTCATGAAGAGTTTTCAAAAATATGTATGATGAGTGAGCAACTATATGAAACATTTGATTATTTTTTCTTTATATGTTCATATTTGCTGATGATTAAGTTCCTAATGAGAGAGAAAGATTTTGTAAAAGACAGGCTGCACATGGTGACACATAACTGTAGTCCTTGCTGCTGGGAAGGCTGAGACTGGTGGATCATCTCAGTTTGGGAGTTCCAAGCTACAGTAGGCTAAAGCTTATATACACTAAGGATGACCACACTGTCTGGCACCTATGTGGTTGGCCCCCTGGAGCAGACAGGCTGAGGTGGAGAAGCTGCCTGAGGAGGGGCGGAATGGCCCACGTTGGAAACCAAGCAGGTCAAAGTAGGATTGGGCCTTCAAGGGCCCACTGCACCTCCAGCCCAGGTGAAACAAGGAGACTTAATCTCCCCATCTAAAATAAGATAAAGTCATCATGGTATAGTGTGGGGGTGGGGAACCTGTGGGCTCAAGGCCACATGTGGCCCTCTAAGTCCTCAAGTATGGCCCTTTGACTGAATCCAAACTTCACAGATCAAATCCCTTTAAAAGGATTTGTTCTATAAAACTTGGATTCAGTCAAAAGGCTTCAACTAAGGACCTAGAAGGCCACATGAGATCTTGAGGCTGCATGTTCTCCATCCTTGGTGAATACAGGTTTCAGGTAAGAAAGATCTAGGTTCAAATCCAGACTTGGAGACCTACTGGTTATATGACTAGACTAGTCAAATAATCTCTCAGTGTCCCAGGCTACTCACTGTGATTATAACTTTTGAGACCAGCTTTTGATTCGTATTAGTGAGGGAGTTTCTTCAATTTATAAAATAATAACATTCATCTAGTACTTGAAGGTGTTTTACGTGTGTTATCTCATTTGAGCCTTCTAGAAAACTTAAATGCCATTATTCCCATTTTACAGATTAGGATATTGGGACCAACAGAGATTAAATGCCTTGCTCATTGTCAAGTAGCTGTTAAATGCCTGAGGAAGTATTTGAACTCAAGTATTCCTTAGTCCAAATCCAGAACCCTGGCTACTCTGCCACCCAGCTGATTTATTATTATTCTAACAATTATATTGTTAACAATTATATATTTGACAATAATAGTGTTGCAATGTCTACATACAATGGATCCAAATAATATGCTTTTTGGTGATTCATCAGTAACCTCTGGAATGAAGGAAATTTCACTGAAGTAACAATATTCTCTCCATAGATTTCAATGTTTTTACTATTAGTGTCAGAGAAGAAAATATATTTTAATAAAATTTTATATTAGGATATAGAGGTCTCTCATGAAATGCCTCAGGTTTCAGCCTATTGCTTAGTTTTGTTCAACTTTTTTTTTAAACCAATGGTTTAAATGAACACATTCAAGGCAAGTTTATTAATTTGTCATTGAGATGATTTAGGAAGAATTATTAATGACAAAATATGCATTTTAAAGGGACAATAGCAAGCATGTAAGCATCTTAATGAGTATAACTGGACAGAAAACAGACATCATGGAGCATACAGTCTAGGAAGTTAGAAAGAGAGTTTCAATATACGCTACAACAGAGAGCAACAAACAGCATTATGGGGGATCTGCAGGAAAAAAAATCTTTCAGTCAGAAGAAGCTTTACAGAGAACATAGCATCTGAAATGGGCTTTAAAAGACAAGAATTCAGGGGCAGCTAGGTGGTGCAGTAGATAGAGCACTGTCCTTGAAATCAAGAGGACCTGAGTTCAAATCTGACCTTGGACATATGATGCTCACTAGCTCCATGACCTTGGGCAAGTCATTTAACCCCAATTGCCTCAGAAAAATAAAAAAGACAAGAATTCAATGACAAAATTTTGCCTAGTGAGAAATGATTTTCTAGTTATAGGCTTTCAGCCTGGAGAAGACAAGATTTGGAGGGAGGGAAAGGGGACATATGACAACTGCCCTCAAATATTTGAAATGTTTTCATGTAGACATAGAATTAAACTTATGCTTCTTGGACTTAGAGGAATAGAAGTGATAAATAGAACTTATTGAGAGGCAAATATCTATTTAATATAAGGGAAAAAACTGCCTGGAGTAGTGCATTCCCCTGTTAAAATGATCTGACTGAGAGGGACAGGCTCCTTATTGTAAGACAGTTTCAAGTGTACTGTTGTAGAGGAGATTCCTTGACAGGTACGAGTTGGATTTCACCAGATAACCTTGAGATTTTATGACTTTGTGATTTTCGCTGAGATTTTATGGCTTGACTTTGTGATTTCACTAATACAGCCAGAACACTGCCATTCATGCTATTTATATTGATAGATTAAGAGATAGAATGATAACAGGTTTTCCCAAAACTCTTAGTGCAGCTTAAAGCCATTAAAGCTTAATAAGCTTTAATAATAATTTCAACAATATTTCATAACAATAGTATGCTTTAACAGCTTAAATCTGGACTAAGACTTTTGAGAACCTCTGTATAACATGTCTATATAAATATCTATAAATACACATCTGTGTGTGCACTAATATATAGGCATAATAAAATTTTATCTAAGCCTTTCTTGCCTCTATCTTTATTTCTATATCTCACTCAATTTGTTTGCAAATTATTGTTATTATTAAGCTATTTCCCAAGTTGAATTCCATTTCTCTGTTTAATTAGCAAACCTAACAGAAACAGAAATGCTTTCCCAATATGCTGTTAAAGGTTTGCTATCCTCAACTGAATTACAAAGGTCTTTCAAAACTTTGTTTTCTTTTTGCCCCTCAGTCTCCCATTTGCAGAGAGAATCCATCTGGTTTTCATGAGTAATGCTGACTGACAGCTGGTTTGTTTTCTATTCTAGGTCGTGGAGACTAATTTGGTTGCTTATGACTGTCACTGGATCATTATAAATGAGGTAAATGCCAACTAACCTTAATTGTCAACTGTGTACTCTGTTTTCATACATAGCAGCAGTATTTTCTACTTGCCTTGAATTTGCCAAGAGGAAACAAGCCTTGAAATAAAGTTCCAACATGCTGCTGAGTGGATGCTGTTTAATAAGAATATAATGAGTTTTTTCCCCCCTTTGGTATAAAGGGCTTTGTATGAATAAAATAATATTTTTTTAAAAAACTCTCTTTCCTGCTTAGTATCTTTAGCCTTTTCTTTTGGCTTGAGCTTCATGCTTTGGAAGATCAGCTTTTTAAAAAATTACAATTCCTCTTTGTAAGCACAGTGAATACCTCCCAGTGGAGTGCTAATGTTCCATTTATATTTTAATGTTGCTTCTGGAACTTTTTTTCTTTTCCAGTCCACCCTTACATCAGGATTAAATATCAGTGTATAAATATCGATAAATCAAGAATACAGATCTTGTTTTTCATTTCCTAGTATATGTATTTTAAAATATATATTTTTTTAATTTCAGTAGGAGTTTTTGCAAAAACAATAATGATGAAATTTAAAGATATTGTAGAAAGAACCCCCAAAATAAGCTTTGCCATGTCTTTCTAGACAAAATCTGCAGACCACTTGAGCATGGAAAATATGCTCTTAGGAAATTCTTCTCACACTATGCCTGAGATTTAACGTTTAATGTCCTGTCTAATGCAAGTCAATCTATCCTGAGATCTTACAAATACTAATCTTCATTAGCTAAAAATTAATTAACTAGTAGCTTACTGTGAAGAAGATCAAACATTCAAAAACTTACTTTGACTTTGTTATTTGCTAAAAGTTCATGATTTGTTATTTTACCTTTAATTGTGGAAAATTAGAATATATTAAGTGGCTATATTTTGTTTAGGGAGGACTATCAGGTGTGAGACCTTGCTGAGCCCTTTTCAGGGCTGCTCATCTACCTTTGGTATCTACCTATCACCCAACTCTTACTTGTAACTCCAAGAAACTATAGCATGGACAGTTTCCACATCCTGGTAAAACCATATTGGCAGGCAGTATAAACCAAGTTAAGGTAATCAATAAGCCTCACACCCATCGGAGAATTAAGGGGGACAACCAACCCAAGCATGTGAAGACTTCTCACAGGATTGGTAGATGAGAACAATTAGTTCCAATGGCGATGAAGCAGCTGAAGCTGCTTGGTCAGGCATCAAAGACACCAAGGTCATCCACTGGATCTCAGGCCATCACTAGTCATCTTAATTTTTATCTTGCTGCTGGACTTTGACAAATGTGGAAGAGAGAGTGAGGCTGATACCTCTGCTTCTCTTAAATCTGATTCATGGGCAAATCACAATATTAACCTGTGATGTCAATGGCCCTTTTCAAAAACAAAGGAAGAACAACAGCATTTTTCAGGAAGACAACTTCTGCTCTTTATAAAGTATGTGTCTATCATGACTGAATTATGTCATCCTCAGGACAAAGAATCAGATTCCATTCCTGATATGCCCAGCCACTCAACTATCACCTTGACTGTGTTTCACCTCTTTCTAGAGCTATAACTGCTTTACTCCATGCTGCTGAAATAAGAGGGAATGGGGATATAAGAGTACTTCCATCCTATGTCTATCTCCCAAACCACTGACTCTAAGGCGTGTAGTCCAGTTTTGTCCCTGTACAGCACAGCATGGGTGGCCCCTCCTAGGCCCAGCTACCAACTTTGGATACCTGTCTCCTAAGTCTTGCCTTCCCCTACTACTGTGCTCTTGACTACAACCTCCTTCCCTGGTGTCAGGGATTCCCTGGAGCTGGTAGAGGCACAGGTTTGTACTTTCTGGGCAATGGGCCAACATTTGTCTTGCATCTGATTGGGCTGTTTTGTGTCCTCAGCCCTGGAGACTCATGCCCCATCATTTCTGTGAGTATCTTGAAATCACTATTCCAAACAGTATGGAGTAGTGAGGCCTTTCTGCTTTCTGGTAGCTTTCTTAACCACTGGTACCCTGTAGCTCCCTTAACCACTCAAATTGAATTTGCCCTGGATAGTAGAATACCAACTTAATAGCTTTTTTCCCTTTGGATGATGGATTTTGAAGCTTTGTTTTCAGAGGCCAGGAATCTTTCTAATTTCTTGTTTTATTTCCTTCTCTACCCTGCTCCTTATTCAGCCATCTCAGGAATAGACCACCCAGACTTCCATGTACAAAGCAGAAAGCAATATCAATATTTTTATTATTATATTTTAGTCAGTAAACCCTTGCTACTAAAAATGATCTCTTGTCTATCTAGTCACATTGATTCATGCCAAAACAAATCAACACTTTCATTCAACTATTTACCACTTAAAGGATTTATCAGAATAGTCATATGATATCTGAATCTTTTGCTAAGTCATATAAGGAAGTTAAAGGCAATTTCTTCTATACTTGACTCAGGGAAACAAACACATTTGGACTGCCCCAGAATCCTGTAGGCCAACTTGTATTTTTAAGGTAATTAGCCTAGTATATTCTGTTGAGATAGTCATACCATGAAAATCATTTTTAGATTTCTCAGCTAAGGAACATTATAGCATTAATGTCATTTTCTATCTTTCATAATAATTCAAATGCATTTGTTCTTTTAAACCTGATTCTATATGAATATGGAATAAATTGTAGTCCCCTTGTTAGACTTACATTTAAGTGGTTTTTAATGTGTTACATAAGGAGATTTTTAAAAATTTACAAAAATTCCAGTCTACAAAGTGGAATGAGTGTAGATATTTATAGCATATTAGGTAGTTGAAAAAGCATGTATCTGGAGGCAGAAGAAATAGATATAAATCCTGTGTCTGGTACTTAAGACCTGCATGACCTGGGGCAGATCACTTTACCTTCTTGGGACTTTCTCCTCATCTGTAACATGAAGGAAGTAGATCAGTTGAGGACTGAAATCATATGACTACTTTCCCTCCCCCTTACACTGAGTGTTTTACTGACTCTGCCTTTACTGCTTATAACTTGGACTTTTCTGTCTTTCTTCCCTCTTATTTCTATGAATAAGAAAACAGATGACAGTTTTCTATACAATGGAAATTATCTCCAAATTCATGAGTCAGAAGTTCTGGGCTTGAAGCTAGACACCCACCATCCTTGATAAATCTACTGTTAGTAGGTCACTCTAGTCCACCTCTGATTCCATCTACCTTAATATCCCTTATAAACCCATACTGGGCATCTTCCTCCCCCATTTGTCATTCCAAATAAAATTAAATTAGCAAAAGCCATTTACATAAGGATGTTTTTTCTCACACACACATATGCACACTCATATATCTTTATAGATAGCTATACAGTGACATGTATAAATATATTTCTTCCTGTATGCCTTCTGTGTTTTCTCTATTGATAAAACTCTCATTTATACAGCTCTGTAAAGATTACAAAGCACTTTACATATAACATCTCATTTGTTTGAGTCTTCACAACAGCCCTGAATGGTAGGTGCCTTTATTGATACCATTTTACAGATGAGGAAACTGGGTCTGAGAAAGGTTAAGTGACTTGTCTAGAATCACACAACTAGTAATTGCTTCAGGTAGGATTCAGACTCAATTCTTCATTATTCCAAGTCCAGTACTCTATCCACTATACCACCCAGATGCCTGTTATCATTCCTATGATCCCTCACTGTCAAGTATGTATTGATGTGTGTCTATATACAGACTGAAACCATATGACATATATTTCTTTGAAGGAAGAATTATGCCCTGCTCAGATAAAGGCAAGCAAGCTAGAAAAGTTTGAAAGGCAAAACATGCAAATACTCATTTGATTGACTACAGAGAACATGAATCTGTCTAATTTGGTTGTCTGTAGTTATTATTTAATTGCTAATTTTTAAATGGCTTACAAACATTTATTTAAATTTATTACAAAAGTAGTTATCTTAGAGAACCCATGCAAATCAAAACTGGCATTGTTTATAATGGAACAAACTGATGTGAAAACTTAAAAGCAATTTCTTTTTTCATTTGCATTAAAAGTTCTACATTAATGAGAGTCTGTGCTAGCTCATCTGGTATAATAAATCATATGCTAGTACTTGCTAATGGCGCTTATTGGTTCCTCTGAATTCTGTAGATCCAGGCCTCAAAAGCCTTTCATTATGAATATTGCCATCCCTTCAGGGCCCTGAAACAGATGTCACAACTCCTTATTTAAGTTTTACACAAGTCAGAAATTTAGATATTAAGACATTTACTGTTGGTTGCTATAGGAATAAATGTTTGGATGTGAGTAAATGCACTCTCAAGGCTGACCTCAGGTGTCCTAGAGAGATTATATCAAAGTGTCTCTTAAATGGCTTGAATCATTATGACTCAGGGGTCAAAATTTTTCAGAGTTTGTATCTGAATAAATGACAAAAACAGTTAATTCATGTACTTTGTGGTTTTCTTTTCTTGTTTCATGATGAATTTAACTGCTCACTGCTGGGCGATAGAGCAGAAAGCTTTTCTTCTGTTTCTCTAGGCCTAGGTTATTGGAATACAACCTGTAGCTATTTTTATTGCCATATTCTGATCTTAGGTTTTTTTATTGTTGTAAATATTGAATTTCAAAATTAAACTTTTTTTTGCACTGAATATTGTGACTTTATCTATGGTAAATAACATAGGGCTCTATGCTTCTCCCCAGTACTGCACAAGGACATTGGGGCAAAGACTGTGAATGGGGAAATAAGTCAGAAACTCCTCTTTTGCCCAAGGTTGAAGATTTACGGCTTTCAACTTTAGTCTTTAGAGACCATGAAGATCATGAAGTTTGTCATTAAAACCATATTCATTGTCGTAGGAGGAACTGAGCTCAACAAAATGGTCACTGAGTGTAATACCAACACCAGCATTAAAGAGTGGGTTCCGTTGTTAAAATCGTAGGATATATTACCCAAGATGTCCTTCAAAACAGAGTCCCTTGTGTTTGTTTTACCACTCTCTTGATATCATCATGTTTGGCAAGCTGTCCTGGT